CAGAAGGAAGCTTCCAGGCAAGAGCCTGGAAGTTTCCCTGTAGGGAAACAGGCTGGAGGTCCGGGACGGGCCCTGCAGGGCCCGTGTGGCTGCACAGTATGCCACACCAGGGAAGGTGGTAGCCGCCGGGCTGCGGTGGATGTATCGCCGGGAAAAAGCACCGTTCTGGGACAAATTACGACAGGTAATGAAACTTATATTTTGTGAGGAATGTTCGGAGCCTGCGAAAAAAGAAATTGGAACGTAGCACAGATGGCCACTTGAGCCAGGATGCTATATCCGATCCTCTGGGAGATCACGATATGACGGAGGGACCTGCATGCAATTACGCGCAACACACGTTTTCAGTGTTTTCACAGGTACCTTACCGTGAGGCGAGAACCTGTCGACGAAGGGGGCCGGTATGCTGGTTAAGTTCATAAATATTGTATTCCGTACCAGTGGCAGGTTGGCAAGGTCTGAAGGGAAACGCGGCAGGAGTTTACCGCGTGTACACAGTCTCAAATTCGTTGAGCTTCGACCATGAGACGGGAACCTGTCGACGTAAGCGGCTGGGAGCCCGGTTAAGTTCATGCAATAGTGAATTTCCGTAACAGGTCTGACCAGCAAGGTAAGGAGGGAATGCAGTCTCAAGCACGCCGTGATTTCTACTGGGTTTTCAACATTTTTCAGCATTTTTTCAGCATTTTTAGTCCGAAAGTTTTTCAGGCACGTATGGTAGTAGTACGGTTTACTATATAACAAGGATGAGTAGAGTAAGGACCTCAATCTGAGTGGCGAATGAGTAGAAGGATTGAGTATCCTCAATGGTGTGAAATTGGGGAAGATGCCGGGGGAATGGTGATTTCGCCATGATATGTAAAACTCATGTCACCTTTTTCCTAATTGTGTCCTATGTGTGATTTTCTGATACCCTAAGGCACATACATATCACACACACACACACACACACACACACACACACACACACACACACCCAAAACACAAAAAAAAAAAGAAAAAAAAAGAGCAAAAATTCAGGGAAAGATGGTAGTTTTGGTGAAAAATTCGCCGAAAATGACACCACGTATTAACCATTTTTTTTTCCTTCCTGAATCTGATCGGAACAGGTCTGCACTTGATGATGAGTCTTGATCTTAGCCAAAAGGCAGAGAAAGGTATCTTCGAAAGCTCTCCAGCGTATTTTTGAGACCTGTCTAACACCAGCACCTCCAACATGCTATACTAGCCTTCAAACTTCAAAGTATATAATCCAGAAATCTCCGGTTCTTTTTTTATTGTTCACAAAAACTTGAAAAACATGCTTTTTTTTTTGTTTTTTGTTTTTTTACAAAAGCATGATCAGACCACCTCCAACAACTACTGTCAGTGATAGAAAAGGAGCAATCTACGTCTTCTAGCGCGGAGCTGGAGAGCTTTAGATGGGCTTTGTACACTGAGAATTGCCTCCAAGGCATCTAGTAGATCTGACTCCTCTATGCCCACATCTGCTCAGTATGCAAGGTTTTCACCCGGTTCGCGCAACGATTGCAGATAGCGGGGTTTATCCCCAGACCTTCCCCCTAACCCACTGTACAGTTGTCCGTTGACCCTGTGTGTTTTGAACCCGCGACTTGTCCCTAAAACCGTGTACTAATGTTTTGTGTGTGTAGCCTGAGTTGTGTGGATTTGAGCCGTAGACCTGTACTCTAGCAGTCTTAGGGTCGTCCGAAGTTTCAGTCGTCCTCTAAAGGGTCAGTTGGTCGTGGCTAGACAAGTGCTCGAAGAGTCAACTTGACCTTTCACAGTCAGAAGAGGCAGTCCGTCGATTTCTGAAAGGTCAAGAGTCCCAAGTCAACTCTGAAAGGGGCACATATAAAGGCAATCCCAGTCCAGTCGGTTTGGCAACAAGTATCAGAATGTGACTGCACATCCTGAGGGCCTGGGACATCGGGCAGGCCCAGGCCACCAAATGAAACAATATAAATAAGGGGTAGTCACAAAAACGAGTTATAATTGCACTATGGGGCAACATACAGTTTGCAATTGCACTTCGGGCACCCTACCTGGCCACAAAGCTGGGTTGTGTACATTGCCTGAACTGCAATTCGAAACTGTATCTAATTATAACTCGTTTTTGTGACTCCCTCGTAGTTTCCCCTATAAATAAAGAGGCAGCGATCAGTCATTCACTCATTCTGAGGCAAGCAATGCGGAAGCGCTGCACAAGTGTCGAGTGACTTGTGCGTTGAGTCGCAGGTGGCCACGGCGGCCATAGACGCCCGTGTGTCGAAGATAGAAGCTAGTGTGCGTGTGAGTGCAGACATTTAGGGTAGATCCAAGTGTTGTGTGAGTACGTGCGTGTGAGTGTGTCTGATGGTGGATACAGTGTTCGGGTGGGAATTTCAGACAGGCGCTCAGACGCCATAGCCGCAAGATGTGATAAGTTGTCTTGAGCTGAGATCCTGGCCGAACGCCATATCTCTGAGTTTTCTGTGTGGGCGCACTGCGCCATCTCAAGCTTGCTGCAGATTCTGCTTTGAGGAAGTTGTTTTGCCATCGGCACCTGCATGTATGCATGTTGGACGTGAAATCGAGACAGGTCTGATTGCAGCGGTATCGGAGCTGGTTCCCGTTGTCTGCGCAAGCATCACGGAAGTCGAAGAGGAGGAAGGAGTCGACCGACGCTAAGAAGGAGGTGATGATGATGAGAGAGAGATGCGTGTGAGGGAAGAAGACCGCCATAGCGGACGGTAGTCATAGCTACCAGCTTGGAGAAGAAGAAGAACGACGACGGAAAAGAAAGTGACAGGAGAGAGAGAGCTGATGAAGGAGAAGGTGATTGCAGGCATAGCCGAGCTTGAGGACGAAGAAGAAGAGGGTGAAGTGAACCAAGGTGATGAAGAGAGAGAAAGCCGCCATAGCCGAATGGCCAAAGGTTTGACCGGAGTGGACCAGGCGTGGACCAGCGAGCGTTGACCGGCGAGCATTGACCGACATAGTTGGCCAAGTTGACCGTTGACCAAGCTTGGAGTGAGGAGCAAGAAGCAGCTTAATCTCTTCAAGCCCTCACCCTTGTCCTTTTATGCTCTGTGGATGTTGCACACTCACCTTGGTACTTGTTGCAGTCAAGTCTGTCTTGTAGAAGTCTGTCATCTCTTTCTGCATTGAATCACTCCGGTCCAGGTTGTTAGAGGCTCCATGGATGTGGTCTGATAGAGGCTGAGGGGCCGACGCCTGCACAGGACTTAGTAGGGGTGAGGTATATATGACGCCAGACGATCTAGGGAAAACCCCCCAAGCTCGAGGACCGGTAAAGACCGGCAGGCTGCTCTGGGTGGTACACTATACCTGAACTCCGAGCTGCAGATCGCGCGTCCAGTCTGTCTAAGTCTTGAGAAAACAAGCTGTGAGCGTTGTCCTGACTGCGACGTTAAATAATTCCTGAGGAGTTATGCGAGATCTCCTTAAATGCCTCTTGACCAGCCAGTAGTTCTGAAGTGACGGACTAGGAATAGTATAGTATTGAGTAGTTGACAGAGGGACAATTGGAAGCCAAAGCCAGGCAGGATTGAATTGTGGGTGCACGGGCATCCGACAACTGTGGAGAGATTGGACTGTGGTTGTGAAATCATCCGGCGACAGTGGTAGTGCCTAAGGTGGAAGAGAGAACCTCTGTAGTTTTATAGACAGTCAGTGTCTAGGTGGGTTGGTCTAAGTGTTGAGGAGCGGAATCGCTTGTGATTGTGCCCTCGTCCAACATGGACAACTACCCCATGTTCGCCTTCATAGTGGGCCTCTCCCTTTGGGGGCCCTTGCTCCATTTCCTCTTTTCATTGGGATTCTGGAGGATCGTTTGTTGCACCGTGACTACTAAGTCAGGAATCCAGACCCTGCCATAGAGTTAAGAACAGGAAGAGAAGGCTGCCGCAATTCTCTGAGAGCAGAAGGAGAGAAAGGAGAAGAAAGCCTTGGAGAGACAGGCCAAGAAACCGGCTTTGCTGGAAGAAGAGGTGGCCAAAAAGATAAAGATGGAGGAGAAGATGGAGGTGTGGAAGATGGAACAGGAGGCGAAATTGGCTGAAGAATTGGTCGAAGAAGAAGAAAAGGAGGAAGAAAGCGAAGAAGAGGGGACCCCGTTGCGGAGGAGAGAAGAGAAGCAAGCAGTAAGGGTCCCAAAAGAGAGGAAGGAGGAGAGAGGAGAAACGAGTATAGGCCTAGCCCCACCGGAAGAGGTGGAGAAGGCTGTGAAGGAATGGGTGGCAGGACTATCCCTAGGGGAAGATAGGGAAGCAGAGTTGGTTGTCCCCCAGGCAGAAAGAGAAGCGGTAGAAAGAGAGCTGGAAAGGGAGAGGAGCCCCCTGCGTCGTCAAGCGAAAGAGCAGGAGAGGTGGTTAGAATGGAAACTGCACCTCGCGAAGGAGAAGACGAGGCGAATGGGAATGACAGACAAGATGGAAAAGGAATTGAGGGCGGGAGAAGTGCGGCTAGGTCAGATGGGAGAAGAAAAAAAATTGGGAAAAAGATTGACACCCTCTCCCACAGTTTGGCCTCTGTTCTGGCAGCTTAGCGAGAACAGATAAGACACCTTCATGGGCACGATGTAGCACTTGAATCCGTACGAGCCAGATTCCACGACTTTGCCCAGGAGATGATGATCCATCTCACTCACAAGATGCAGATCGCAATCGATAGCACAAAGAAGTTTTGCAGCGGTGTGATCGAGGGTGTCAAGATGGCAGCCCCCAAGGAAGAAGAGCCACAACCCCGCCAAGAGAGAGTCAAAGTTCGCTTCCCTGAGCCCTACAGTGGGACAAGGGTGAGAACTTTGACAATTAGGAGGCTAGCATTAAATCGTATCTGTATTTACAGAACGCGCCTCCCGACGACCATGTCCTAATAGGCTTTCAGGCTTTGAGGGGCGAAGGGACTAGTTTCACCAGGTCTCTCGCACGAGCCGCTCGTTGCAAAAATGACATGGTCGCCTACTCTGCTATTACCAACCTTAGCTCAAGTCGGTCACCTCCTAGAAGGGGTGGATGGCATCCAGGACGGCCTGAAGGCAGGCCTTGGGAACCCTTAGGCCTAGACCGTAATGTTTAGCAAGATCGCATGGACAAGTTTTAGTGCATATTCTGAGGAGACCCCGGGCACATTCTTAAATTTTGCTCGAAGTACAAAGGGTCTAACTGTGCTGCACTTGGGGCAGCAAAAGGCAACTGTCGGCAGAGGTGGCAACTGCCCCTACCCCAGGAGCACGTGGAGATGAGCGTGCGCGTGAAGTAGAAACTCCCACTCCATATGTATCCATGGCAGAGGTTGATGGCCAGCACCTAGCTAGTTGCCCAGAGACTGCTTGTGTTAGAGTCTCTCTAGGTGCTTCCCTCACAGGCTTGGCGGAAGAGCTCAAAGAGTGATGGCCAGCCTGGGCCAAAATGAAAAAAAGTGAGAAAGGGCAGCTATTGTTAGTAGATGAAGAGATCTTTAGATCTAAAGTAGGGACCCTTATAGAT